GGGCCGACGTTCGAGTCATCCTTTTCGGGCCTCATTTTTATCGGGCCGGCCCGACCGAGTCTTTTTCGGGCCAAAATGCAATACCCGACTCGATCTTTCGGACCGGGCCGGATCGGGCCCCAAACCCTACCCCCCCCCCCCCAACCCTACCCACTACCTTACAAAATTTTTTCCTTCCTCCTCCACCTCTAATGAAAATCTTTGGAAGTAACGTTCTTCATCTTTTACCATTTCTCCAAACATTTTCCGGTCAGAATCTTTACAGTGTAAGCTTTTACATCCATGAATAACAACGTGATGGTACATAAATTCAAGTCCTTTAGGAAAACAGGAGCGGTTTTTATTATATAGTTAAAAATATTTTGTGTGGAATTTCAACGGAGAATCACCAAAAAATAATTCAAGAATGTCCGGCAGGTAACCATCTAGAACCGAGAGTTTCTAGAACATAAATTTGCAAGAATCTCAGCTTCCAAGAACTTAAATCCTTTTAAATTTTTTTAAATTTTAAATTAATTTAATTTTTACATAAAAATATTTAAAAATTCGATAAAAAATTTACTTAAAATCGATTTCCGCCGCGCCAATAACCTGCTGACATCCCTATAATTTTTTTTAAAAAATTTTTCTTAGGAGTGTAGAGAAAAAAATAAATCCATAGAAAGAAATGATAGATTTTTTATTTACTCATTTTTATTTACTTAATAGGGAGAGGGGAAAATTTTATAGGGAGAGGGGAAAATTTTATAGGGAGAGGGAAATTTTTTATTGGATAGCTAATTTATTTTTTATATTTCTAAATTTATATAATTTATTTTCTAAATTTATTAAATAAAATTTATTTTAAACATAAATTTTATTTCTTATTTCAGGGCCAAGTATTGGCCTGGGTCTTTGTCCAAGTTAATATTCGCCTTGGACATTATGGTTGCTCAAACTAGTTTAACGGACCGGAAAATCTGTTTTTATTAAAAAACCGAAACTTAAATAAAGTTATTACCCGGGCGGTATTCAAGGAATCTGGTAGCGCCGAAAAATAGGGAAAATCAAGGCTGTGGAAACAATTTGGAAGATAAGAACAAGGAGAAGGTATACGGTAGATATCCGTGAAAAAATTTTTAGTCTCAGCTTTAGTATCAGGCATTACTTTTTATTTGTGAATGCGTGCGTCGCGGTAAATGCGACGTAAAACCCGCAGCTGAAAATTGGTTTACTTCCCCTGGTAAAACTTGAAACAATAATGATAACTGAACTGTTTTAGTTTTATATGTAAGCCTGATAATTTTTTCAAGTCTGATAATATCATACGCTTCCACAGCTTAGTTTTCGGATAATATTTCTGAATAAATAAAGGCCGCCGATATTTCCCGGCCCTCAAAAGTCACTCCTTCTCCCATTTATCTAGCACTTTTATTTTAAATTTTTTTTGAATATTTTTGCTTAAATAATTATTTATTAAAGATATCATCTTATTCAAGAAGATTTATTTTTTCAAATCTTCACAAAAAATTAGACAATGATTTACAAAGAAAAAAATTTTCTTAAACATATTAATTGTCTATTAATTATTTATATTCTTTTTTCATTGTTTGAAGGAATTGTTGCTTTTGACAACAACGATTTTCAACCATATCAAACTAACTTGGAAATTTGTATGTCGAGTACCGTATTTTCTCGATTAATTCCCCTCCCTCGAATAATTCCCCCTCTCGATTAATTCCCCATGCTAGAGTTGGGTTGAAACAATAATTCCCCACCCCAAATACCCTACTGCACGTTCAACTGCCAAAACTCGAATAATTCCCCTCCCTCGATTAATTCCCCATGCCAAGGAAGGGTTAAAAAAATAATTCCCCAGGGGAATTAATCGAGAAAATACGGTATGTGATTTAAGAGAATGGGCAGGTTATAAGCCATGCAAGAGTCAAATGCATAACGCTATTTAACCTGCTTTTTAGTTTAAAATTCCAGTATTCTAAACTGAATACTTTTAAAAATTATATTTTTATTAATTATTATTCAAAGCCCGCGGCAAAGATTTAATTAAAATTACCGAATCTGGCGGTAGCACACAGGCTAACGATGTTGTACTCTACGATGAATTTGTATTAATGGATAATTTCGATGAAACAAATAACAACATTTTTGCATCGCATTTATCTAGTGCAGGCATTCTTGAACGTTATAAAAATACAATAGAAAAGGTTAAGGATGTCGTTGAGATGTTAATAATAAAGGTTAAATCATTTGTTGAAGAAATTAAAATAGATCACTCAAATGAAAATTTTACTGAATTCGTTGAAGACGTTAAAAAATACGAGGAGTTGATTAGTAATAGCGAAATAGGTAAATATTGCTATGACACTCTCTGACACTCAATAAATTAAGAATTGTTTGGCCAGATAGTATGTATATTGTGTAGCGATGTTAAAATCTGTCGGCTTATGATAGTATAAAATCCAGTGGCAGCATCAGTCTAAGGCCCGGCCAGTCCCTTATCCCTTCATCTGTTCCAACCTCAAATTCACCTCCGCCTTCATCTCTCTTATCTCTGATCCCTGATACATTTGTTTAATTATTTTAGGTAATTCCAAGGCTGGTCCCCCCTTTTTTTCCTTTCTATTTTTTTCGATTTTTTAAACTTTTTATGGTAAATTATATATCGTTAGAAAGAGCTCTTCAAGCTGAGTCGAACGGTACTAAATTCATCGAAATCCGACTTAAATAAACATAGTTATGACCATTTGTTTCATCACAAAAAGCATGTCCATCGAGGATTTAGCTTCATAATTCTGCTCTGAATCTCCAAATCGAACCGATTATAGTATCATTATACTGAGCTCGAAAGCTCTTTCAAATGATATATTGTAAATTATATGTCAAGCAAAAAAGCTCAAAATGGTCAGGCGAACAGAAAAAAAAAGGGGGGGGGACCAGCCTTGGAATTACCTTATTTTATTTCAGATATAACAGATCATGCAAATTTACTCGAATACTACAAGTCTAGAATAGATGTGATACTTCAATGTAAAGTATTTATTAGTGATCTAAATTCTGAGGGAGCAGAAGGGTCTTTTATTGATATATTTTCTTTTATGGAAAAACATCCTGAATTGAAGAATTTAAAACTTGTTTTTGATTTGTCAAGTATTCAAAGCAATGAATTAGATAAAGCTATTAACGAAAAATTTTATGAGGATCACAAGAAAAATAAAAGTAATTCGAAAGGATATAACGATGCCGTTGTTGAAGGAGCTGGTCCAATTGGATTGTACACTTCCTTTAAGCTTTTCGTTGGTACGTAAATAACGTTTTCCTATATAATAAGCTACATCTAAGGAAAATAAAATAAATAGATCTGGGATAGGGTTGGTGGTTCCGGATATCCGGAGCCGAAAAAGTTCAGGTATGCGGAAGTTTTCGGTTCGGTTTCAGTTCCGGATATCCAAAAATTTCCCAGAGACCGCCAACCATAGTCCGAGAATACCGACCAACTCTTGCAAATGCTTCCATCATTATCCAGGATGTCAGCAGTTCCCTCATTCTGTATAAGCTATATTTAGGCATGGATACTAATAAGATCACATCCGAAATATAATTCCAAATTTTAGAAGGAATTAATGTTACCGTTGTAAATGATCGTTCTGAGCATTATACACGCGAACAAATCATCCTTCTGGACTGCAAATGGATATGTCAACTACGTTTAATTTTGGGTACAAAATTTGACAAACTTTTTAGCGGAGAAAATTCAATGGGTAAATTGCTTGATAATCATGTTGGTCTAGTTATTATAAAAAATCTTGAAACTGTTTTAATGAACCGATTGAAAGCTTTAGCTTTGTATGTTGATGCTAGAGAGGAGAATCAACAGGAAGAAGAAAGGTCTTTCGTAAAATTAATATATGAGACAGCAATTTTTGGCATTGATTTGGATCATGATAAGCCTTTAGCAGTTCTTGGTACTCCTGAGAGACAAGTCAACAAGGCTGCAAAAAAGGTTTACAGAAATCTGGAGAATAAATTAATGATGAAATATAATATAAATCGGAGAATGGCACGTAAAAGGATTGTAAACAAAAAAATTAGGGAGTTAAAAAATCTTTTTGGGGATGAGTTAATTCCATATATGAGAGATAGAGACGATGAAGTAAATCACATTACAGCTGAACAATATGTTGAACTCCAAATTAATGGGAATGCTTTTGAAATAAAGAATATAGAGGGAGTGCCATTGAATTATGGAGTTCCAAGGAATTATGTAGGAATTCCTTTCGATTTGTTTTTCTGTGCTGGAGGTGCAAATGACCGAATAAGAGATGAGTTTTTAGGTAATAAATTTCTAATATTGTATGTACTGGCACACTCAGAATTGTGAATTTACATATGTTAGCTCGATGAGCTGTTCCAATTTGTATTTGTAGCCAGTGCTGGGCATTTGCCATTTGTTGGCTCCGGCTCCAGAGTTTTCAAAATCTTAGCGCCGGCAGCCGGACTCCGGAGCCAGCTCTCGGCAGCCGGGCTCCGGCTGCCGAGAGCTGGCAGCCGGAGCCCGGCTGCCGAGGCTCCGGAGCTAGCTCCGGCAGCCGGGCTACGGAGCTAGCTCCCCGAGCCATACCCAGCACTGTTTGTAGCATTATAATTTCAAAGATACGAAGCGAATAATAGTTTGTAATTCAAGTTAAAGTTTTGATTACCCTATATCCTCAAATATTTAAGAAAATCCCGTAATCTTACATGTGATCAGTAATCTATACTGGGGAATTTTGTTGGATTTATCCCGCAGGATCCTCCCCACAAAATTCTTTGAAAAAATACCTAAAGCGTGATCCCGGAAGCACGATATTGCCGGTCACTAATAATTCTATTTTAAAAATCCTTAATTTTAAGAAGAACCACAAGTACTAACTGACTACGAAAATTATGGTTTAATTATCATCGACAAAGGAGACCACAATATACATATCACCGAAGGTGATTATACACAAAAAGTTAATCCAATGGTTAATATGCTGAATGTTCAAGAAACTCAAGAGATTTATCACTTTATTATAAACTCTCATGTTATTTCTGATCAACTAAAAGAACGTTATGTCAATATAATAAACTTGATTCTTTTTGGAATGGCCGAAGACCGTTATGGACGTTTAGTACAAGCAAATAATAGCCGTGATCCAGAGATGCTCCTTTTACACATTTTTGAGTTAAAACAAAGAATGACTATTGGCTCAATAACACCCCGTGCTCTTTCCAAATTTATTGAAGAGGTTAAATCGGAAGGTAATCAGAGACCTAATAAGTGGCAATATGAGGAATTTGTTAAAGAATTGGAGAACAAATGGGCTATTGCTGTTTTTAAATATTTATTAACTTTGTATCACTATAATGTTGATCAATTAATAATTAAAACGGCAGAAACTGATGAGGATGAAGAAGGAAATCAAGCCCAATTCCATTTTAAAATTTTGAGTTCAACTACATTTTGGATACAAATTAAAGGGGTAGAAAATGCAGCAAAAGAATACTATTCAAAAAATGATTCAGCAATTGTTGTAGCTGTAGGTGATGCAAACACAAGTGCCCATTTCTTTACTGGAAGCGGATTAGGCACAGGTGAACTAATTTCAGTTTACTATCGGTTCAGCCTTGGAAATAACTATAGTTCAGTTCAAAAAAAACAAATATTTATTCAGAGCGTTAAAAATTTATAATTAGTATATATATTGGCGCTATATGAAATTAGGTTGGGAATCGTTTTTTTTTCATTACTTTTCTCTACTTTTTTCCTCCCTTGACATGATATAATGGTCAGCATTTTCTTCCTTTTTCAATTCCATTAAATTTGCCTTTGGCATAATCAAATGCGGACCAACCTAATTTCATACACACACACTGACAGACAAAACCAGGACGGACACGGACGAAACTCGGACAGACAACACACAGACAGACAGAACACGGACGAAACTCAGACAGACAACACACGGACGAACACGGACAGACAGAACACGGACGAAACTTGGACAGACAACACACGGACGAACACGGACAGACAGAACACGTACGAAAAGCGGACAGACAAATCACGGACGAACACGGACAGATAAAACACAGACGAAACCTGGACTGTTAGGAATGAATCCGTGTTCTGTCTGTCCGTGCTTTGTCTGTCAGTGACCGTCCTTGTCTTGTCTGTCAGTGTTTTTCTGTCCTCTCATTTGATTATGCCACAGGCAAATTTAATGGAATTGAACAAGGAATAAAATGCTGACCATTATGTCATGTCAAGGGAGGAAAAAAGTAAAGGAAAAAAGTAATGAAAAAAACGATTCCCAACCTAATTTCATATAGTGCCTATATATTGAATTAAAAATAAGTTGAAAAGTTAAATTGCGGGGGAGTATATATAGGGATTCTTAAACAAACATAAATTGTTATTGAGGATGGCCAGGTCAGAATTAATTATATAAAAGTGAAAAACAAAATATATGATATGTAAGGGTTATTGGGTAAATATTTAGTCGGGAAAAATCCTAAATGCTTTCATGACATGGAAGGTTAAGAGTTTATCAGTTTATCATTTAATTATTTATTTTTATGTTTCTTGGGAAAGGGCCATTTTTAGTTTGTTTGTTTGGTTAATTAGAGTGATGCAGCAACAGGCAAGTTTACACGGGAAACTTAAACAAAAACTAAGCTCGGGATAACCGTCTGTTATAAAGTGGTGTACCAACGGACCTCACTCTTTGAAGCAAAATTTATTCTTAAATATTTGAGCAATATTTTAGGTCGGTATAGTGTTGAGAATGCAATTTTGAAGATTAATGAGTTTAATATGTCTAGCGAAGGACTGAGTTTAAAGAATATGATTGGAGTGGCTTTGAAAGGAGTGCGCAATCGCGTGCTTGATAAAACTCGAGGGCATTTGAATATTTTTCCTGGAGTATATTTTCATACTAACAATTAAATGATGAGTATATTGAAGAATGTTGAGGTTTTGATGGATTTAGTGATTATTTAATGAGATTTAGTGATTATTTGATGATTTTAGAATTATATTAATTCTGAATTTTTTTTATTTAAACCCAAAATTTGTAGTTTTTCTATGATGTAGTAGCTATCCTTGGCTTTAGTGCAGGACCCAGATCGTTGTATTAGCCTATGAAAATGCGTCCTATGAGCAGTGATGGAAAAGATGAAAAGGTTCCAGTTCCGGAACTGAAATCTAAAATAGATTATAAAATGGTAAAAAAATTTTTGGAACTGGAACTGCTTTGAAACCGGTTCTAGAGAAATTTTGGAACTTTTCCATCACTGCCTATGAGCTTGTTTACATCCATAAAAAACAATTTGAAAAAACAATTGTGAAGATATTTTACGTTAACCTAAGCCTCTAGGCCCGAGTAACAGTAAACTTCAATTCATTTTGGTTAAACAAACTCCAAAAAGAAGCGTTTATGGAACACTGTAAAACGTATATCTTTTCATAAATTATCATGGGATTCAAGCAATATCCCATGCATTACCTGCACTAGAGCCATATCCTTTATTAAAGATTTTAAAAAATTATTTTAATTTTACAACTTAAAGGATTTGCCTCTTTTACTTAGTTTGACCCGGTTTTAAGCTTAGATTTTTCTCTGAATTTTCAGGTTACTTTTCCAAATTAAATTTCAAGCCTTTTTCTTTAAAACAAGTTTATTCAAGAAAAATACGTTTAATAAGTTTATTTAAGTTGTGGTACGTTCAATACGTTAAGTAAATGTATGAGATTGGAGTTTATATAGTCAAGGAAAGAAGGGCGGCGATTTGTGTAAAAAGTATATTTTAGATAGGTAAAGAAGGGGAAGGCATTACAACAAAGTTTAAACAAAGTTATTTATTATTTGAATATGAGTAGGGTTGCCGTTTTCGAGTCGGGCCGACGGTCGAGGCATTTTTTTTCGGGCTTGTTTTTATCGAGTCGGGCCGGTACGAGTCTTTTTCGGGCCTAACTTTATCGAGTCGGGCCGATACGAGTCTTTTTCGGGCCCAAATTTATCGAGTCGGGCCGGTACGAGTCACTTTCGGGCCTGACTTTATCGAGTCGGGCACCGAGACATTTTCGATTCTTTTTTTAAAAGATTTATTTAAAAATAATTCGTGGATTTGGAGGGATATCTGTGAATTAAAAGGTATATCGATGGATCAGGAGGGTAAAAGAAGGGCTGAAGAGAATTGAAATGGATATCAGTGGATTTGAGGGATTAAGGTGATTTAAATTATCGGAGGATTGGGGTGAGATATTGCTAGATTTGGTTTTACTAAAGGAGATCAGATGATTAAGGGGTTCAGGATCGTATATCAGATGATTAAGGTGATATATTGTAATGGGATTTAGAAGGATTGAGGAGATTTGAAGGGATATCGGGGATATCGTGCGTTAATCACCAAATCCCTTAATAAAATCCCGCTGTATGCTAAAATTCCTCGTATCCTTGATCCTCGTACACTTAATAAATTCCTCGTACACTTAATCCAAGGGCGTGTCCAGTGGGGCTGCTAGAACTGCGGAAAATTGTGGACTCTCAAAACTGATTGAGTTTCAAAAGTTCAAATTATGACGGGATCCCGCGGAATATATACCATAACTCCAAGTAATCCAGCTTATCAATTAAAGCCAGTAAGTTCGAGATGTGAAGCAAAGGGAGCTAAAAATCCTTCATTTCAGCGCCGCAGGCGAAAATTTTTCGAATTTTGGAAGGCCAAGGAGCCAGATTTCATCCATTTTTGTCCACAAATCTGGTAAAAATATTATCGAGTCTTGTTCGAGTCGGGCCGACTTTTTCCGAGACAATTTTTTTCGGGCCTGTTTTTATCGAGTCGGGCCGGTACGAGTCACTTTCGGGCCTAACTTTATCGAGTCGGGCCGTTACGAGTCTTTTTCGGGCCCAAATTTATCGAGTCGGGCCGGTACGAGACTTTTTCGGGCCAAACATCGAGGCATGACTCGATCTTTCGGTCCGAGTCGGTCCATTTTGGCAACCCTAAATATGAGCCAATGGGAAAAGTTAAAATTGATAAAGGAAAGGAAAGGATTATTTTTAAATACAAAGAATATTTATGAGAGGAAAGGAAAGGTTATTTTTAAACATAAAGGAAAGGGCATTTTAAATATAAAGAAAGTTTAATATTGAGTTGGGGAAAATTGGAAAGGATGGAAAATATTTGAATAAATGTCAATCAAATTAAAAATTAGAAAAAAAGAATATTTATTTAAAAAATGAAAATCAATTTCAAAATAACAAGTCCGAGGATCCAACACTCCTCCCTCCTTCAAATTAGTAACCACGGTAGAAGTTTCGTTGTTGACGACGATTTCCACCTCCATTCCCACGGAATGGGCTATAACGATCATTAAATCCTCTCTCACGATCCAATTGACGTAAGAGGTAAAACATACGAGCATCTCGAGCACGCGAATTACCGCGAGCTCTACCACGCCCGTTAACAACCTCTCTCGCCTCTTGGCGGTTTTGATTTTGCTGCTGCGGCGGTTGAATGTTTTGCTGTTGTTGTTCGACTTTCTCCTCTTCCATATTACCACCAGCTTCAGATTCACCCTCACCTTCATTTGAGGTGGCAAAATTTCTAATCTCACTTTTAATTTCTTCCAGTTTATTTTCAATCTCCTCAAAGCGAGGGTTAATTTGTTGTAGTATCTCTGCTACAACTTCTTTAGATTGATTAACGATGGCTTCACGAATATAATCGTGAGTATTTTTAAAAATTTCTTTAATATCCTCATTCTCTTTTTGAATCATTTCAAAAAGGTTGTTGTTTTTCTTCTTGTTGTTAGTGGAATTAGTTGTTGTTTTTAGTCCACCACCAGATCCTCCACCAGCTCCTCCCTCTCCAATAGTAGTGTCGTTTCCCAAAACTTGGTCGATTTCCATTGTAGTCATTTTAATGATGAAAAGATTTTTTTTCAATTAAAAACAAATTGGACTTTTAAAAAACTATAAAATAATTATATGAAAACAGTGAAAAATTGATTATACAAAAAAGGGGTAAATGGAATTAATTAAAATTATTAGATGGGGGGGGGGGGGTTATATACATATTGAGATTTAATGTAAATTTTTCTCAACCTAAAGAGGTTGGTTTATTTCGGAGACCGCTCCTGCGTAGTCTCATTTGGTCTGTATGTGCAATACGTTCTGAACCATCTACTTCAACTTTATATAGGTTCTCTCCGCATTGCTCTTTAACTGTTCCCTCCTCCCATTTATGTTTGTCTCCATAATTTCTTATCCATATTAATGCATTAAATTCAAATTTTTTCTGTTTTGGGGAATAATTTTGTGTTTTTTCTGTCTCTTCATTTAAAGAAGGATTATTTTTGTGTGTATTTATTTTTATTAAGTCCAATGGGGTTCGTATTTCTCTTTTTAAAAACAATTTAGCTGGGCTCTCCCCATTTAATGTTTGGTTTGGAGAGGCTCTGTATTCAATCAAAATTGTCTCTATAGCACTTTCCAGGGGCAATGAACAATCTATTAGTTTTTGAACACCATTTTTAAATGTCTGAATGAATCTCTCCACTAATCCATTGCTGGGCGGGTGATATGGAGGTGATTTTAGGTGTTTGATGCCTTGTGATTCAAAATAGTTTTCTATTTCAAATGAGATGAATTGCCTCCCATTATCGCTCACTATAGTATTTGGTGGTCCAAACATTCCAAAAACGGCTCTCAATTTCTTTATAACTGAGGTAGAGTTTGTATTTTTAATTAGATATACAAAGGGGAATCTAGAATAAGCATCAATTATTACTAAGAAATTTTTCCCTAAAAATGGACCGGCTAGATCAATATGTATCCTTTCAAATGCTACTTTTGCCTCGGGCCATTTATAATTTAAACTCAGTTTTGGTTCATCGTTTATGTATTTTTGACAAACTTGGCAAAGTTTGATAAATTCTTCAATTTCTCTATTTATATTAGGCCACCAAACT